AGCCGAGATGGCGCCAGTGCACTCCAGCCTGGGTGACACAGCGAGGCTCTAAAAAGGTCTTTGACAAAATTCAACAGCTCTTCATATTAAAAACTCTCAATAAACCAGGTACTGATGGAACGTATCTCAAAATAATAAGAGCTATTTATGACAAACCCACAGCCAATATCATAATGAATGGGCAAAAACTGGAAGCATTCCCCTTAAAAACTGGCACAAGACAGGGATGCCCTCTCTCACCACTCCTATTAAACATAGTGTTGGAAGTTCTGGCCAGGGCAATCAGGCAAGAGAAAGAAATAAAGGGTATTCAATTAGGAAAAGAAGTCAAATGGTCCCTGTTTGCAGCTGACATGATTGTCTATTTAGAAAACCCCATTGTCTCAGCTCAAAATCTCCTTAAGCTGAAAAGCAACTTCAGCAAAGTCTCAGGATACAAAATCAATGTGCAAAAATCACAAGCATTCTTATACACCAATAACAGACAAACAGAGAGCCAAATCATGAATGAACTCCCATTGACAATTGCTTCAAAGAGAATAAAATACCTAGGAATCCAACTTACAAGGGATGTAAAGGACCTCTTTAAGGAGAACTACAAACCACTGCTCAATGAAATAAAAGGGGACACAAACAAATGGAAGAACATTCCATGCTCATGGATAGGAACAATCAATATCATGAAAATGGCCATACTGCCCAAGGTGATTTACAGATTCAATGCCATCCCCATCAAGCTACCAATGACTTTCTTCACAGAATTGGAAAAAACCACTTTAAAGATCATATGGAAGCAAAAAAGAGCCCGCATTGCCAAGACAATCCTAAGTCAAAAGAACAAAGCTGGAGGCATCACGCTACCTGACTTCAAACTATACTACAAGGCTACAGTAACCAAAACAGCATGGTACTGGTACCAAAACAGAGATACAGACTAATGGAACAAAACAGAAGCCTCAGAAATAATGCCACACATATACAACCATCTGATCTTTGACAAACCTGACAAAAACAAGAAATGGAGAAAGGATTCCCTATTTAATAAATGGCGCTGGGAAAATTGGCTAGCCATAAGTAGAAAGCTGAAAGTGGATCCCTTCCTTACTCCTTATACAAAAATTAATTCCAGATGGATTAGAGACAAATGTTAGACCTAAAACCATAAAAACCCTAGAAGAAAATCTAGGCAATACCATTGAGGACACAGGCATGGGCAAGGACTTCATGATTAAAACACCAAAAGCAACGGCAACAAAAGCCAAAATTGACAAATGGGATCTAATTAAACTAAAGAGCTTCTGCACAGCAAAAGAAACTATCATCAGAGTGAACAGGCAACTACAGAATGGGAGAAAATTTTTGCAATCTACTCATCTGACAAAGGGCTAATACCCAGAACCTACGAAGAACTTAAACGAATTTACAAGAAAGAATCAAACAACCTCATCAAAAAGTGGTCAAAGGATATGAACAGACACTTCTCAAAAGAAGACATTTATGCAGCCAACAGACATGAAAAAATGCTCATCATCACTCACCATCAGAGAAATGCAAATCAAAACCACAATGAGATACCATCTCACACCAGTTAGAATGGCAATCATTAAAAAATCAGGAAACAAAAGGTGCTGTAGAGGATGTGGAGAAATAGGAACACTTTTACACTGTTGGTAGGACTGTAAACTAGTTCAACTATTGTGGAAGAGTGTGGTGATTCCTCAAGGATCTAGAACTAGAAATACCATTTGACCCAGCGATCCCATTACTGGGGATATACCCAAAGGATTATAAATCATGCTGCTATAAAGACACATGCACACGTATGTTTACTGCGGCACTATTCACAATAGCAAAGACTTGGAACCAACCAAGACGTCCATCAATGACAAACTGGATTAAGAAAATGTGGCACATATACACCATGGAATACTATGCAGCCATAAAAAAGGATGAGTTTGTGTCCTTTGTAGGGACATGGATGCAGCTGGAAACCATCATTCTCAGCAAACTATCGCAAGAACGGAAAACAAAACACCACATGTTCTCACTCATAGGTGGGAACTGAACAATGAGATCACTTGGACACAGTAAGGGGAACATCACACACCGGGGCCTCTTGTGGGGTTGGGGAGCGGGGAGGGAGAGCATTAGGAGATATACCTAATGTAAATGACGAATTAATGGGTGCAGCACACCAACATGGCACATATATACATATGTAACAAACCTGCACAATTGTGCACATGTATCCTACAACATAAAGTATAATAAAAAAAAAATAGGCTGGGCGCGGTGGCTCACGCCTGTAATCCGAGCACTTTGGGAGGCCGAGGTGGGCAGATCAAGAGGTCAGGAGGTCGAGACCATCCTGGCTAACACGGTGAAACCCCGTTTCTACTAAAAATACAAAAAATGAGCCGAGCTTGGTGGCGGGCGCCTGTAATGCCAGCTACTCGGGAGGTTGAGGCAGGAGAATGGCGTGAGCCCTGGAGGCAGAGCTTGCAGTGAGCAGAGATCACGCCACTGCACTGCAGCCTGGGGGACACAGCAAGACTCCGTCTCAAAAAAATAAAATAAAATAAATAATTTTTTTTAAAGTGGCTACTAGTACTTTTTTTTTTTTTTTTTTTTGAGACAGAGTCTCGCTTTGTTGTCCAGGCTGGAGTGCAGTGGCAGGATCTCGGCTCCGCCTCCCAGGTTCACACCATTCTCCTGCCTCAGTCTCCCGAGTAGCTGAGACTACAGGCACCCGCCACCACGCCCGGCTAATTTTTTGTATTTTTAGTAGAAACAGGGTTTCACCGTGTTAGCCAGGATGGTGTCGATCTCCTGACCTCGTGATCCGCCTGCCTCGGCCTCCCAAAGTGCTGTGATTACAGGCGTGAGCCACCGCATCTGGCAACATGTACATTTTTAATTACTTGTGCAGCTTGCATTTGTGGTTCATATTATATTCCAATTGGACAGTATTGCCTCTAATGCTTGTTTAAAATGTGGATTTTGGGTCCCACTTTTGAACATCATGCTTTCAAAGTTCCAGGTTCAGGCCCAGAATTTTGATATTTTTTAGCTTACCAGATTTTAACTGGTAAGTCAGGGTAAGGAATCACTGTTTTACATGGCTTTTGACCAGGTGATGTTTGTGGTCTTCAGCATGGCAGAAACCCTATCTCTACGAAAAATACAAAAAATTACAAGGCGTGGTGGTGCATGCCTGTAGTCCCACATAGTTGGTGGGCTGAGGCAGGAGGATTACTTGATCCCAAGAGGTTGCAGTGAACCGAGATAGAGCCACTGCACTCCAGTCTGCGTGACAAAGTGAGACCTTGTCTGGGAAAAAAAAAAAAAGAAGTCATCTATATGTACTGATATGGAAAGATGTTTATGATACAAGAAGGATAAACAAGTTGCAGAACATATAGATCCCATTTGTATGTGAAAAACGACGTACATATATTTGTATTTGCATAGGAAGTCTCAAAAACTGTTAACAGTGGCATTGCTGAAGAGTACAACTAGGGAGAAGATTCCCAGGCATGTGGAAAGATACTTTCACTATGCTTTTTTTTGTTAACTTTTTAATTTTTTTTTTTTTAATACAATAGAGACAGGGTCTTGGGCTCAAGCAATCTTCCCACCTCGGCCTCCCAAAGTGCTGTAATTACAGGCATGAGCCACCACACCCAGCCTACTTTGCTTCTTATATCCTTTTGTACTGTATTAATTTTGCTTGTTTTACTATTTACTATGAGCAATATGAAAATTTATATTAGACATTACGAAGTAATATAAAAACTGACAAAATGCCCGGCCCTGACAATACTTCATTATTTAGGTTCCTGCTAGAGAAAAGTGCTTTTCACTGCCTTTGAATGTGAAGTTTGATCTTCCTTCTAATTTTCTAAAAAGTCACCGAATGTATTTGTTAATTCATTCATTTAACCATTACCAACAACCTACTTAATGCTAGGCACTGTTTTAAGAAAAAATAAACAGCAGAGCACAAAATCAGATGTGTTTCTCCCACACTCTAGCAGAATCGGACCATAATCAAATGCACACATAAACAACTTTAGTGCTTTGAAATACAGAAGTCAAGGGCCTGAATTTTCACATACTGAAATGTTCAAATGTGTGCACAAGCACACACGCACACAAATTAACTCAAACATGCTAATTAATGAAAGCACTGCTTTTGAATTTTGTAAGTTTGTCGTCTGGATAAAGTATTCAGGGATACTCCTCAAATTAATCTTTCTCTCGTTTTCAATATAACTAATTGAGTACAAAGAAGTTAAAAATTAGCAAAGCATTTCAGCTGTGTGACCTTAGGCAAATTACCTGGCTGTTTTAAGCCTCAGTTTTCTCCTCTGCGAAATGGAGTACTGAACCTCACGTTCGCTGTTTGAGGGAGACTTGTGTGGTCAGGTTTAGTGTAACCGGATGCTTGGCACGAGGAAGCGTGAAGACGAATGGGCCCCCATGGGGCCTTGATGCCCGCCCTGAGGCCCTGAGGACCCGCACGCTGGGGCGGTTCTCACGTGGCGCTGTCTGCTTTTTCACCCAAGCTTTTCTGCCAGCCAACTGCCCTTCCCCGGAGTGCTGCGGCCAGAGCTAGCCCGCTCCTCCGGCGGCCTCCGCTGGGGGCCCACTACAGCCGGCGCCGGCTAGCCAGCCCGGCTTCTCGAGTCGGTCCTAAGCTGAGGCGGCCCTGTGCTGCAAAACTTGGGTCCACTCTCAGACCCCATCTATCCTGAGCGAACTTGGCTTGTGGCAGGCGATAGCGTCGTTTCCAACTGCGGCTGTTTGAATTCTGGCGCCACACCCGCGCCACGTAGGGCCAAGTCGGGCGCAAAACTAGCAAGCTGCGCTTCGCAGTGCGCCTGCGGGCGCGCGCCGGGAAATGGCCGGGCGCGCGGCCGGCCTGCGGCGCGCGCGCCACAACGCGGGACGGGCCTCGGAAGAGCCTCCGCGCGCGCTCCCGCTAATTCGCGGCCACACCCCTGTCTACTTCCATGTCCAATAGGTGCGAGAGGGCGGGGCAGCCTCGTTCTGACTGGGGAGGCTATATAAGGAGCTACTGGTTGCGCGTCTCGGTCTTTTACGTAGGCCTTCGTGATCGTTTGGTTGTGTGGTAGGTAAGCGTCGGTGTTGCGGGCGAGTATTGGAGCAAAAGGTGGAGGTGCAGGCCGAGTTAAGAGTTTTGATAGTGTGAAACCATCTTAGTGTAGAGCTTAGGGTGCTGAGAGTTGAAAGCTTGCACGTGGGAAATGTGCAGCCCGACCGCCACATGTACTGAGATTGAGTCGTGACGGCCACAGGCTCCGAGTTTTGGCGTGAGGAGAACGCTGATCGGCCACGGGTGCCGCGCTTGCTGGCCTCTGGCATGTGCCTGAACGGCGGCAGAAAAGCCACACTTAATTGGGGCAGAGGGTTAGTTTTAAGAGCAAGGGGCCTTTACTAAAATGGCGAAGACCTTCCGTCGGCGTTGTTTTATAACGGGCAGCCTCAACCCTGCATTGAGACTGAGCTGTTCGAAGGCGGCGTTGTGTGCAATTCGGATTAATGAAGGGGAAAGGTTTTGTGTGGAAAAACACCTTGGAGTGTGACGTTTCTGCGAGAATGCTTATCGGTTTCCCGCAGGAACAATGGCGCTGTCATGGCCCAGCAGAGCAGCTCTGAAGATGCAAAGGTAAGAGCTGTTAAGCTTAGTTACCAAACTAAAGGAGTAAACCTGTTGATTTACAGGAATAGGAACTGTTGCATCGTTTGATACTTACTTTTTTTTGTTAGATACATGAAAGAATTCCAGAATATGCGGGAGAATATTTAATGGAAAACCGCTTGGTTAAACCTGACACTCTTCATGGGTATGTGTTGTTCTAGTACTTTATGATAGAGCATAGTATTTAATCCACACCTAGACTAAATCAAATTTTTTTGTCATTGAACAGCATTCTGGGTGTGGACGATCAGCCAGTGAAGATAATGAATGTCGGATGTCACTGACTAGCAGCTTCATTTTGAAGTAGGTTGTATGGCTTAAAAGTTCTGTAGTATTTGTACTATAATACTTGCCTTTTACCTTTACCTTGGCTTATGGTCAGTGTCACAAAAGTGCAGTTTAATGTGTTAATATGTACATATACAAGGTCTGATTGGTCTAATCAATGATGAAACCTATCCCGAAGCTGATAACCTGAAGAAAAATAAATACGGATTCGGCTTCTGAGATTAAGACCAATAATTCAGAAGTGGAGTAAATTTTGTTGACGGGATTTTATAACAGTTCTGTTATAAAAGATCCGTAAAAGTTTATAACAGTTCTGTTATAAAATCCCGGGTTGTTGTTTTTTTTTTTCTGCCAACAGTGAGGGTCGCTGTCTGCCCATTGATAAGAGGCCAGATTGTCTTGGAAGTTCCAAAGTTGCAACTATTTCTGTAAGTGGAGTTTTTCTGTTTGCTTAGCGATTAGTGAATATTGTGTCCTTGGTCTTATCTGTGATGATCTTATCCCGAACCTGAACTTCTGTTGAAAAAAAAAATTTTACGGATCTGGCTTCTGAGATGGACCATTATAAGGACAATACTTTTTTTTAATGCTTTTACATAAGCTGTTGTAATGTTGGTAGTCTTGTAAGAATCTCATGTTTTTCCTTTTCTAGGGCTAGTGCCACGAGGTTTACTTGACTGTTGTATGAAAAGCTGATAAGAAAACCATCCAGAAAAAAAGCTCTTCGTTTTACAAACACGAAAATAAAACACGTAATTTTGGATTATGTTGTTTTTAATTATTTTAAATAGGTCCTGAAATAACATGGTGGGCATTAAATGGAAAATCCACTGCTATCTGATACTACCAAATAAAATGAGAGAGAAGCCTTAGGCATGTAACATTACATTTGGAGATAGAAAATACACCTTCACTATGAAGGTAGTGTGTGTAAGATAGCAGTGAAAGCAGTGTTTGCATTTATACCCTTGATCTCCGATAACCCTTGCCTGCTAGACATAAAACTATTAATCATTGTTTTTCTCCCCCTTCCAGAACTTCTGCATAAAATTTTAAGATCTGTGTTTCATTACTTCAAAAGTGCCTAGAATAGGGCCAGGCACTTACTGTTATAGAATATGTGGTAAAAGACTATTCATATTCCACAGTTTTCAGGGAAGAGTGCCATTTCCCTTTTGTCAAAGCTGGCAACCAAGACAAAGTTGTGAAATAGACTATTTGCTTTCGAGCCCTCTGACCTCTTTTTCTGTAGCTCCTTCTAACTCCCTTGCCTCCCAATAGATCTTTTAATATGTCACATTTTCTTAGTTGATATCAAAATTAGTACTCCACATTTATATACACTGGCCTGTGCTAGGCTCTGCCAAGGCTCCTGAAATAAAACACCATTTTGTCAATAGTGGCACAGGATGCCAAGGAAAAGTCAAGCTATGAAGAATTCTTGAAAATAGAACAAGTGGATTTGAGTTTAAACCAGCACAGATGTTGGGAAAATAGGCCCAAGAAATACTGAGCAAAGACAGTATGGTTCAGAGTCTGAGAGACAAATATTGAGGATTTGGGTACCAATAGGGTGGATGTGTGTGGGACAGAAAACATGTTATAAATACCCTTAAGATTCGTGAGCAAGGGAGTTAGAAATGTAAGAATATCCTGTAATTAGAGTCAGATCCAAAAAGGTTTAACTTGAATGGAATTGAACTTGAAAGCTCAGTTTTGGTTACCGACTCCTTGATGGCAATTTCTAATCACACAGGAGGCTGTTAGTCTGTAATAGCCTCCTAAAAACGCAGGCAATATTGGTTAAGATCAGTTGCATAAGTTCACCCTCCAGAGCATATCTGCTGCTTGGGACCAGGTGCAGTGGCTCATGCCTGTAATCCCAGCACTTAGGAAGGGTTGCTTGAGACCAACCTGGAAACAGCAAGATGCCATCTCTACAAATAAGAGAACTAACTGGGTGTGGTGATGTGCACTTGTTCCAGCTACTCAGGAGGCTGAGATAGAATCACTTGAACCTAGGAAACTGAAGCTACAATCAGCCATAATTGCACCTCTATGCTCTATCGTGAGCAACAGGCCAGGCTAAAAAAAATCCTTAAGGACCTAAGGAGCTTGACTATAATAATTAAACTGGGATATCCTTGATTCTGATTGGCTTCAGAAGTTCAAAGGCAATTTACATGTGTCTGACTTTAGTGACTTCAGCCAACAGGAATTTTCCTTCTGCCTTACACCAGGCTTCCAGGTAATCTTAAAATATAGTAAGCTCAAACCTACCATTTGGTGCTTTCTAAAATTAGTTCTATTGCCGGAAACCCAATATCCACTGTGCTTGGCTCCCCAGTCAAGTGTCCTGTGAACTAACATCAATCCTCACTGCCCAGTGTGTATGGAAGAGCTTTTAGCTGTTTTCATGGTTTTTGTAACAGTTCCCCAGTTGGGATTAGAGCCTTTCTTTGAATTTCAGCCTACTAGAATAAACTGCTTATCTTTTGCTAGTCCTTTTCTGGGAGTAGGACCCTCCCTACCTTTCCAAAAACTTGGTTCTGGATCCAAACAATACTTATAACATAGTACTTAGTTATAAGTATATATTAATATGCATGACTTAACTGCATATTACCACTCCCTCTGATCTTATTCCACCCTGTAGAATAACATCATTAGAGACCATCTTGGGGCAGAAGAGGATACCTTTTCAGTATGAGAACTAGACTCCTTTTCTTACTCTGATGAGTCCTGGTCTCCCCACTGCTGAGGTCTCAGCATGCCATGTAGCTGAGTTTATCAGAGTTATGAGGGTTTAATCAGAATCCCAAATCAAGTACAGTCCAGTCCAACCTATTTGAGAACTTTATCTTTTCTTGTTACTTCATTTATTATAGTTCTCTTCAAACGAGCAATGGAAAAGGCACTTCAGAATATGCAAAAGATCTGTCATTTGAAGGGGATAATTTACAAATGTGCATCACTTCACTGAGATCAGGAAATTGTTTTGTCCTTACCTGCTGTAGTGGATATAACTGATATACAAAAATGTGTACATTTAAAAAGTATGCAATTTGATGAGTTTTTTTCATAGGAATACACTCATGAAACCATTAACAAGATAATGACTATATCCATCACTTCCAAAAATGTTCTCTTGTTAGCTTGATTTTGAACATGTTAAGTTTAAGATAGCACATGATATTCAAATTGGGATTTTTGAGTAGTTATAGAGGTCCACAGTTCAGAGGAGAGATCTGACTAAAATAAAATTGGGAGTCATCGACATATGGAAGGCATATTTAAAGCCATAAGATTAGATGAGATCACCAATAGAGAAAAAAAGGTGTCCAAGAGTTGAACCCTGTGGCCTTTCAGGATTAGGACATTCCAGGTTTATTCAAATCCTAGAGAATAATTTGTGCCAAGGGACAAAAATCAGGACACAGGAATCTGCTGCCAAGTTCAAGTGCCATATTTGTTAGGAACAGAAACTAAGTAGAAAACCAAGGATGCCTGGAATGAAATGAGCCAAGAAAAAGAAGGATGAGAACCAAGCAAAAGTTGCTGGAAATTGCCTTGGATTTAATACAGACCATTAGTCAACATGAAAACTGAAGAAGTTAGTGTCTGATCATGACTTTGCAAAGTAACAAAGTGATCTTCAGGAGAGAATAAGATGAGGAATTTAGGAGGTATGATAAGGCTTTTTCATCAGACCCTGCAGATTTGGAGAAAATGGAGCTGACCATGGACAAGTTATAAACTTGCCTAGCATTGATAAAGTATCAGCAGAGGCTGAAAACCACTAATTTTAACAAAGATAATCAGTATATTCAGTATTGTGTGGTGCTTATCTCCTTGGGAGCAAAAAGATAAGACTGGATTAATCCAAAATCAGAGATAAACTGACCAGGAGGAGCAGAGCAATAATGGGTCAAGAGTATTGAGGATGCAGGTAAAAGTGCTAAAATTACTATATTGACCTTGTAATCCCAAGCTGATCAGGGAAGGGAAAAAAAAAAAAAGAAGAAGAAGAGGGCTGGAAAATTGTCACAGGTAATGACAGAGGATCAGATGTGCCATAGAAACGTGCTGCTGAAAACAAGGTAGAATAAGCCCCTCTCCAATTATACTATGGAATGAGCCATGTAATATGTGATTATTGGTTTCTCCCTTCTGGACCTGGAGTGTCAGTTCTTCTAAAGCAGAGACTTCCCTTTAATCTCTGTTTAAACTTGGTGCCTAGGACAATGTGTTGGCATCCATAAAATACCGAATGGAATGGAGTTCAACATGTTTTTTAGGGTGGAACTGGTGGCATGATTTAAATTATCCAAAAGAGACAGAAATGAGAAAAGTCAGAAGCTGTTGTGTCCTGACTGTATACCCCCAAAATTCATATTTTGAATACCCCAAAACGAAGTATAATGTAAGCCCAGAATCACTATAAATGATGAGATTCAAAAGTCAGAATTGAGATATACCCCAAAGAACACACCTTGCTATTGCCCTAGAGAATTTTAGTGTGTTTAATGCCTGTGTTCTTATTGATGCTGTTAAAGTGACCAACTATTAGCAACAAACCCCAAATTGTCCTTTGTACAAAAATAGTTTATTAGGTCAGGTGCAGTGGCTCATGCCTGTAATCCCAGTACTTTGGGAGGCCAAAGTGGGAAGATCGCTTAAGGCCAGGAATTTGAGACCAGTGGGCAACATAGCAAGACCATCTCTACAACGTGTTAAAAAGTAACTGGGTTACTTGGAGGATCTGGCTATGTGGCAGCTGAGATGGGAGGATTGCTTGAGCCCAGGAGGTCAAGACTACAGTGAGCTATGATTGTGCCACTGCACTCCAGCTGGGCAACAGTGAGACCCTTTCTCAAAAAAAAAGAAAAAGTTATTTGAAGTTATTTGCACTGTGTCTTTATTAGGCTTATATCCATATTTTTTATAACTGGAGGCCATACCATCAATAAAAACACATTTAGTGCATTAAAAAAGATGGATATGAGCAGTAACAAAAATACAGGCCAAATAACATTATCATTGTTATCGTCATTAATTATTTTAGAGACAGGGTCTCACTCTGTCACCCAGGCTGGAATGCAGTGCCTAATCATAGCTCACTGCCACCTTGAACTCTTGGGCTCAAGGGATCCTCCCACTCAGCCTCCCAAATAACCAGGAGATCCTTCAGCATGTGCCACCAAGTTCAGCTGATTTGTATTACTTTCTGTAGGGATGGGGTGTCACTGTGTTGCCCAGGCTGCTCTTAAACTCCTGACCTCAAGTGATCCTTCCAGCTTGGCCTCCAAAAGTGCTGAGATTACAGGTGTGAGTCTCCTCACCAAGCTGCCTTTTTTTTTTTTTTAAAGCAATGAGAGCTCACTCTGTAGCCCAAGCTGTTCTTGAATTCCTGACCTCAAGTGGTCCTCCTGCCTCAGCCTCCTGAGTAGCTGTGATTATTGATGTGAGTAGCCACACCTATACTAAATAATTTTAATCAACTACTTTTTTTTTTTTTTTTTTGGAAACAGACGTGCTCTGTTGCCAGGCTGGAGTGCAGTGGTGCCATCTCAACTCACTGCAACCTCTGCTTCCTAGGTTCAAGCGATTCTCCTGCCTCAGCCTCCCAAGTAGCTGGGACTACAGGCGCACACCACTATGGCCAACCAATTTTTGTAGTTTTAGTAGAGACAGGGTTTCACCATGACCTCGTGATCTGACCGCCTCAGGCTCCCAAAGTCCTGGGATTACGGGTGTGAGCCACTG